TCAGCTTTGTACAATAAGAAAGTTTTGATTGAATGATTTTCTTCCAACATATTCTTTCAGCTTATAATGCTTGAATGCAATTTAAAGTTTTCATTGCTAAATAATTGAAATCAAATTGGAAAATAAATTAAAAAATAGATAAAATTTGAACAAGGTTCAGTTGGAGAGATATTAATTAAATTAAATTCATACAGAAAACAACATTTCACATATGTCCTCAAGTTGTACATCGAAGTAATTAATATTACTACAGAATAGTATTTTGATAGTTTCCGCCTAAATATATAATTTACAGAAATAAAATATTGAAGTATATTTCTTACCTAGCTGAGATTGCAGCTCAGCCATAGAATGCCAATGTTGTTACTAATTTAAAAATGAAATCTCGTCTATATTTTCTTGAATTATTTCATGAAATGATTGTGCAATGTTCAACTTGCAGTTTTTGGTTGAAAATTTTTTATAAATTTTATTTCATTTACAAAAATTTTTCGTAATACAAACTGTTCAGAAGGACTATGAATAGTCATTTGCAAATTGTTGACTAAAGCAATGGATGCCACAAATCCACGAAATGGATTACTAATATCTTCACCCGTAGTACACTGCGAACGTCGTTGACAATGGCATGGAGTATCAGTCGCTAATTTATGAAGTTGTTTATTTAATGATTGAGCTGCAATTGATATTTGAGTTCAATCGTAAGAAAAATTTCATTACAAATATCTAATCAATTTTTTTAAAAACTGTTCAAAATATTTGATTTGTACTAATCGAATATTTATGGTTTTATGATTAATTAAAACTTTAACAAATTAAATATAGTAAAAACCTTCAGAAGTATTAAGAACATGATCTGGATCACAAATATAATACTGAACATCTGGTTTAAATCCAAGGCCACATTTTGATACCGATGGACCACGTAAATCAGGATAACCAGAACTTGTCCAATGAGCTAAACATAATTTCCAGCCTAATAAAATTATAGCACTTTGAATTTGTATCACAAAATATATATTCATGACAATATGAAATTATACAGTATGAATGATATTTCAGGATATTGCTGAGAAATTAGCATTCTTTATCAATCCAATAACAATAATGAGAAAATATCACATATTTCCTTCCATAAATATGCTTTCTTTTGTACTGAAATTCAATAATTAATGCAATTATATAAAATAGTAATCATAATTTTATATTATTTCGATTAGCATATTTTGAAAACAAATTTCTAATTATGCAAATATTTATAAATTTTAATTCAAGTGAGCAATTTAACTTTGTAAAGCTAAAAGTATCATTGGAATGCATAAAATATCAACAGAACTGTTGTCTTAAAATTGGCAGTTAAAATGGATAAATGGATAGAATAAGTAAGCCAAAGAATTGCACAAAGCATTACTACATTAACTTTGCACGTGTGTGTATTATATATGAATGTGTGTGTGTGTGTTGTGTATGCTTATTGCTCAAACTTTGGGCACTTCTCCTCGCCGCAAACTACGAAAAATTTAAAAAGTTTGATTTTTACTCAGAAAAATGCTTACATTTAACGATTTATTTATATCAGTATAAATGAAAATGCACATAATGCACATGCACAAACACATATACACACAAGCACGTCAGTGTATTATTTGCATGTCTATTCAATGTCACTGAAGAATTTTACTGAAAATAACAATTCATAACTTAAAAAGATTAAATACTCAAAAGCATTGAATAGTTGAGGCATTTTTCGCAGTGCATGAACGATTATTATTGGATTTGAAGTATAAATATGATCAAATAATATTCAAATACTAATTTAATTCTCCAAAGTATACTCTCCTCAAACGAACTAAAATAGAAATTAAGTAATTGATAATTGGATTTTTAATCTTATCTACACTAATATGCTTTTAATTTAATTTAATTTAATTTAATATGTATGACAAAAAGTGCAAAAATTATACTTTAATTACATAGCAACTGCTAGTTATCAGATAGACTATAAATGTGAATAAAAAAAGATATTAATTTTAATAATAAAATTTGTTCATTGACGTAATATCAAATGAATGAGTAGCTATTAATTGACACAAATATTAAAATAAGACTGTCACTGTCACCATTACTATTCTTTTATTTAATAAAGAAAATTGTCAAGTTTCAAAAAGTTGCTAACATCAAAAAACAGTCTGAGTGATGAATATATAACGCAAATGAGCAAAAAATTGTAAAAGCAGTTTGAGAGTTGTATTTGCTTGAAAAGAATTAATAAATTGATAGCAAAGATAGAAATTTCCAACTTTTTTCTATTTTTGAAAAATGCCTCGTAAAAAACAAATGCATCTCAAGAAAATTCTATACCATCCTCTGAGGATTTTTCTCCACACATATATATATATGTTTTTTATATATATAAAGTATAATAAATAAACAAATAAATAAATAAATAAATAAATAAATA